AAGGGTGCGATAACAACATAAGTATGCTTGGTTTTAATCTGCCCTTAGCCATGAAACCATTTTTCTTGGGAATAACTATTAATGGTCAATGGAACTAGCATGCAGGAGAACAGGTCTGAGGAAATACTATTCTAGGCTGGACAACAAGGGTCACCTCTTGCCCAGTGGCCCCCTTCCTGATGGAGCTGACCAGCTGCCAGGGAGTGACTCACCTGAGGTAGCTACCATGTTGGCCTCAAGATGGCCATGTCCCCTGTACAAGACCTGTCCCATTACCAGTAGGTTACTTTCACACAGGGGGGACACAAGGGCCCAAGAGTCTCCAGAGAGAAGAGGTTATAACTGTGAACCACAAGTGCTAAGATTAAAGCAGCCCATAAATGCAGTGTGCTTTTTAATCCGCTCATCGTCCCTCTAGGCAAGACACAGTCAGGAAGATAAATGAAATTGGCATTTTTTTATTATGCACCTAGTTCAGCCGGTGACTCCCCTGGGCACAGGGGTGAGTGTTTATCTGCATGCCTCATTTAGCCTGCTTTCAGCCCCTTTGAATCGCTGGCTGCTCTCATCCCCCATGCCCAGCAGAGCTCCCGACTACCCGCCAGGCACTGAGGTGGCTCATTAAGCTCTTTTGGTCACCAGGCGACCATTTCTCACGTCCCTGCTCCAAGGGCTCTGTCAGGTGCTGGCAGTTAACAATGAAGTGTGGCCAGGGCCCAGAGGGACTGGAGGTGGGGCTGGGGCTGGAGTGGTGGGGTGTGGGAGCCTGGGTTTGCACCAGGCCCCCTGGGAGAGGCATGGAAAGCCTGAGCCCCTTCCGCTGCAGTGCTGGCTGGGAAGAGGGGCCACAAGGAAAACAACGGGAAAGAACCCTCAAAGTTAAGTTTTTGAGCCCTGTGTGTCACTCCTTCATGATGATGCCCTGTCGGTGATCAAGGGCCTAGAACAGGTGACTCAAGGGTTATATTCAAGGCCAAGGTCACTGCCACATCCAAGAATGGCCTCTATCTACTCCCAATTCCAAAACGAAGAGCCTGGGCTTTGGAGACTGACCGTGGCTGGGACTGAAATTCTGCCTCTGCTACTTACTTTGTGGCCTTGGCAAGTTGCTCTGGTGCTCAGTTTCTTCCTCTGCAAGACAGGGATTGTGTTAAGGTCCACTCAGTGAATTGGTGGAAGAGAGCATGTTAGCCGGCGCCTAGCTCCCAGCCTGCCTCCACGCGGGGGCCCCTCTTCTCCACACCCGTGTTCCATTCTAGTCAGAGCTTTCTCCGTCTCCTCTGCCCGAGGCACACCGAACAAGTGCACCCCTTCCCTCGCCCCTGCAGCCTGTCTCCTCAGACTACAGTAGCTCAGATCAATAGCACAGGTGCGATTCAATCATGTTTTAATCCCTCTCGCCAGGCTGTGGGCTCCTGGCTCCTAAGAATGTAGGTTCTGGGGGTCGCTGCTGTGTTTTTAAGTTTTCGCAGTCCTGCCCTCCGATTTAAAGTGTGTGAGGAGCAAAGGTGCTAACCAGGGAGGGAGGGAGGGAAGAAGGGGAAGTTGGCTGGGGCCACCGTGGGCCATCTGCTCACAGACAGAGGGGCCTGGCTGGCGGGGACCAGGATGAGGGGTGCTAGCTAGCCTGGGCTGTCTTGGCTCCCAGGCTGTCCCGTCTGGCTGCAATCAGTCTCCTCTTCCCTCCTCACTCACCACAGTGCTGTCAGCTCCCGCCGGGCTGCTGGCTGTGGAACAGAGACGCCGTCTGTGACGTGGCTTGGGGGAGGCCGGGGACCCATAAAGATCTCTCCTCTGCAGCACGAGGCAACATCCCCTGCTATCTATCTGCTATTAAATCTCGGCTCCCAGGTTCCGGGATGCAGTTGGTGGGAATGATGAAGTCGCACCTGCCCTTGCACGGGGATGAGCGGAAAGCGGGCCATTTTCGCTTCTATCTCATTCCAGCTCCACACAGGCAGCACTGAGACATTGATTTTTTTTTCCTTTCAGTTTTTTTCTGGCTGCAGCCAAATGAGGTCAGAAGTTAAATTAGTCCTTGGAGGTAAAAAGCAGCTTCATTCATATTCCCTCTTTCTGCTGACTTTTGCTGGAGAGCACTGACAGTTTCCTTTTCTGTTCTTTACAGATTCCATACAGAAGGGGCTGGGAACAAATTATCTGCCTTTGGAACCCCTGGGGTAACACCGAATGGAGAGGACGCTGGAGTGACAGGTAGGGCTTCTGGAAACTTCTCTCCACCCTTCAGAGAGAGCTCATGAGGGCAGTGGTGTCTCACCCACCAAGGGGCTCACTGCAGACCTGTCCAGGTCACACCTCCATACGTCTGATGGTTTATACCATGCTCCCATGATGCCATTTGCCAGATATGTATTAGGCACCTGCTGTGTACACTCTGTACTAAGTGCGCTGTGTTGGGCGGGTGCTGTGGGCTATACAGAAATGACAAGACCCTCTGTCTATTCTGCAGGAGGTTACAGTCTAGAGCTGGGAACCCACATACCCCAAATCAGTAAAAGGGGCAGGAGACAGGCCAGGAGCCAAGCCCCAACTTGGTGTGCCCATGTGAGAGAGAGAGAGGGAGAGGGAGAGCAGGAGAGAGAGAAGGAAAAAGAGAGGAAGAGAAGGAGAGAGGGAGAGAGAGAAGGAGAGAGGAAGAGAGATAAGGAGAGAGGAAGAGAGAGAGAGAAGAGAAAGGGACAAAGAGAGGGAGAAAGAGGAAACCACATTCCTTAGAAGGATCATGCCATATTATCAGGACGGAAAAGGCTTCGTACCTGGGAGCAACTGGAGAAACTGAGGCAAAGATCTTTTCACTCAGTGCACTCAGTTGTCAGCCTTTCCCTGCTGTTCTAGGCTCCCACGTGGACTTGGAACCTGGAATATAAATGGTGACATCAGACCTGCCTTTTTCGTAGGTGTGAGCAGGCTAAGTGGGTATCCTGGGTCTCCTGGGCACATGTCCCATGGGGTCCCCACCATGTGGTCATTGTTTTCCCAGGGAGCTGGGCTGCTGTTTCCTGGCAGCCAGAGTGACAGGCCTTAGCCCTTGTGCCCTTGCTGCTCAAGAATAAGATAGTGGTCCTGAAAGGATAGGGCACAGCAGGTTACTTGTTCCTCTGGAAAGCCAGTGAGGCCTCCTCCATCAAATTCCTCTGTGGGTCTGTGTACATCCATGAAAAATAGTAGGACACAGCCTCCACTGTGGTCACCAGTGAGGGGGGGGGACACAGCCTCCACAGCAGTCCCCAGTGCGGGGGATGGGAAACATGAAAACGTGAGTGGAAAGGAAACTCAGGGCCTTCTGCAGGCAGGAGAGCAGCCTGCACAGGGTGAGGGTCAGCACCGCGAGGACAGCGCATTCTGGGAGGCAGATGCAAGGTCAGCTTGTGTTCAGGCTGATTCCAGACCACCCAGACCCTGGCCTAACTCTTCAAATGCGGCCATGGCAGGGCTGCTCCAGTCCTCTGTGAGCCTGTCACACACAGGTACTCAGCAAATGTCGAGAGAATGAACAACTGGGGGTGCGGGGGGAGGAAACAAAGGACAGGGTAGGAAAGGAGGAACGAGCAAAATGAATTTGTGTAATAAACCCGGCTGTGATCTTCAGTGCCTCCTGGAGAACAGGTCAGCCAAATAGCTTCCCCCTACCCAGGAAGAGAATGACCTTGCAAATCCATGAGCCAGCCCAGGCTGGACCACGTCTTCCCTCTCCCTCCATTCCCCTCTCTCTTGCCTCTTTTTTCTTTCTTTCCAGAGGTGTCCTTTGCACTTTCTGACGTAAGTCCTAATGACCTCGGGTCTTTTCTGGTTTCCCTTCCCATGTGCTGCTCCCAGCTGCCCAGTGTGCCTCAGAGGGTGATGGGATGAGCCAGAATCCCTGGCTTGGCGCTGCCTCCTGGGGCTGGGAGTAGAGGGGAAGCAAACGGCGGTGGGGGAGCTTGGCCCACATCCCGCATGCAATACTCAAATGGTCAGTGAAGCAACAAGGACACCAGAGCTCAGGAGAGAGATGCTTCCATGCCCGGGCATGTTCAGGGGAGGCTGCACAGATGAGGGTGGACTTGAGCTGGCCTTGTGGGGGAGGGCGTGTGACTCACCTCAGAGGGGATGACTGGGTAGGAGGGGGAGCCTGGGCCACAGTGCTGAGCCAAAAACATGCATGGTCTGTTCAGGGCCAACAAGTCTACCGAGGGCAGAGGAAGCCAGGGGAGAGCCCAGGCCAGCTGAGCAGTGTGGATTTATTCCCTGCAGGCACAGGCATGAGGAAGGCTTCAGAACAGGGGAGAGATGTGTGCAGGACACAGGCTGGGGAGATGGGTCTCACAGCACCTGCTCTATGGGATCATGAACCTTGCGGAGTGCTGAGGGCCGCCCACTTCCCACAGGAAACAAGGCTGGCAGGAAGTGACAGGGCCCACATACTCACTGTGCCCACTTCCCACAAGAAACCAGGCTGGAAGGAAGTAACAGGGCCCACATACTCACTGTCTCCATGCAGGTGGTCGATTTCTTCCCTGCTTTTCAGAAATGGAGATGGATGGGGAGAGCTGGACGGTCTAATCTCCGCCATAATTGAAATTTCAGTCGCACACACTTAAAGGCAAACTTGCATGGATCAATAGCATATCGATTTACACTGCATTTATTTTCCCTTACACACTGCAGAAAATGTAATTATCGCTTAATTATAAAATTGCCATTTTACAATAACACATCTGACTGCCTCAGCCGGTACCCGGAAGCCTGAATGGTGGCCCCTGCCTTGCTATGGCAGCACAGGGTGACCCAGGCTGCCCACATGAGCCCCTCCCCGAGGAAGATCTCATTAAACTCCTGTGTCACTGGGGACCGCTGCCTAGGAGCATGCCTCCACTGTGAAGAGGGGGCCGAAAGAGGGGCTCCCTTCTGCCGGTGAGGGTGTCCTCCTCAGCACAGACCCTAGGACTGGCTTCTAGTCACATCATTCCAAGGGAATGGACAGCATTAATAATGAAATAACTAAGTGAAAAATCATTGTGTGCCAACTACAAGCCAAGGCATGGGTGAAACACCTCTGATGATATGTTGGCACTTGGAGTCTAATAAACAAGCCCAAGTGACATCAGCTGCCAAGACAGCAGTGGCACCAAGGCTATGAGAGCTCAGAGCGTGTGGGGCAGGTGGGCTGCAGGGTCGAGCAAGTCCCTCCCCCAGAAGATGATGTACAAGAAGATGGAGTGGGTCACAGAACTGAGAAGGGGGAGAGTGTTCCAGGTGGACAGGGCATGGAGGTGAAAGCCAAGGTGGAGGGTAGGGCCACAGGTGTCTTTGAAGAAATGAAGACAGTCATTATTCCTGGAGCATGGACTAATTCAAGGGTGAAGGTAGGTGGGAAGAGAGTGCTGGAGAGATAGGCAGAGGCCAAGGTTCCCTTGGAGGAGTTAGAGCCTCACCTTGAGAGTACAAGGGAAGCACTGATGTGTGACGCAGGGCAATAACGTTGTCAAGCTTATATTTTAGAAAGACCATTTGGATGGCAGCATGGTGGATGGATGGGAAAGTTAGATGTGCTGGGGGAGATGAGGGTGGCCTGAAGTGGGGTAACAGGGAAGGAAATGGGTGGATGGTGAGAGAGCAACTCCTCACATTCTCGCTCAGGCAATAGGAGGAGGGTACAGTCTGGGTCAGGATGATCTGAGATCACCATGGGACTCCAGCGGTAAAAGAGGACCAGGCAGGGACAGATGTTTGAATGCCACCAGGAGACAGAGAATGGCTGAATCCTGTCCCTGGGTAGCATGGCACTCTCCACTGGTTCCCCAGAAACGACTGGTACCCCATGCAAAGGGCCACTTTTAGGCCACGCATGGTTGATAAAATGCTCTGGGAAATCTCACCCTCTGGTTCCTATCTCCAACTTTAGGTCTTGGGAGTGGCAGGAAACTGGTGACTCATGGAAAAGCCAGCTCCATAAGAACAAGGAAGATGGCGAGTTTTGGTATTTATCCATCTTTAAAAATAATATTTTTAGATCATTAACTGTTTTCCCAAGGTCCCCGTTTCTTCCCCTTTCCCTAAACTCTGATGAGGATGGGAATTAGCTTTGCAGAGACTAATTTGGAGTCTATTTTCTCTACCGAGACATAGAAATGAGGTGGGAAGTTATCGTGTGTTCCCTCTTTGTGGGAAAGCATTTCAGTTATGAAATGTTAGATGTTTCAGGACATTTTAATGGCAAAGGGAATATTGGCACCAACGGTTTTAGAGTCAGAGGTTTCTGGAAACCAGACAGCATGGTTGTCACATCCGTGTCTTCTGTGCTCTCCTGTTGGGACCCTGGAACTCCTGAGTCTCCAAAAAGCAGCAGGGCACTCGTCTCCCAGCCCTGATTCTGCAGTTCTGGGAGAAGCACTGATGTTCTCACCCAGAAGTCGTGCAGGACTAGATGCTTTCAAAACACATTCCCCATGTATGCTCACATCTTAGCAGTGGTGTCCAACCTGCAGCCCGTGGGCCACGTGCTGACTTTGTAAGGAATTTTTTGCTTATCTATAGTGTCAGATATCACAAAAAGTATGCACAGACCTTTTCTTTTGCTAATAAGCTTTCATAAGCATTCATGTATTTACTGTGCCAGTGTGCAGCAGAGAAAAATGAAAAAAAAGCCTGGACAGTCCTGTAAGACTAGATGCATATTTCTCAGAGGGCTGTCTGGTTTACTGAGTAACATGTTTAAATGAAAATTTAGCAAGTGTGGAAAGGAACCTGGGTCTAAGTAATTAAGAACCAGGAGAAAAATGTAAATGAGGAGGCAAATAGTCCCACTATCTCCCATTAATCATAGTAGGAGGTGGGGTTTTAGGTATAGAATTCATTTTATTCTGCTAAAGACCTCAGCAATGAATTTTGTAAAAGGCCCTGGGGAAGGGTGCTTTTCCTAGCAGTGTAGAGGACCCACTACAGAGAGACTCTGGTGGTCACCACCCCTCCCCCCCATACGAAAAGGGTCACTGCTGGATCAATAGGGAGATGTGGTTAGTGATGAAGCTCCTGCCAGGTGACATGCAGAACATGACTCTGTTCTGGTCCTCCCAACCACCAGAGGAAAGAGACTGAGAAACAGAGGGGCACTTGATGGTGAATGACCAGAATCAGACTTTGGAATTTGGCTGACACTGAAGTGTTGGGAATTCCCACCCTGGGGGCAGCCAGTGGTCGTTTAGCCAGTGATCATTTAGTCATGTGTATCTGTTTTTAACAGGATGTCATGTCAAGATTTCCAAGAGTACTTCTCCTGCCTGTTTATATGTGCCCAAATTCCAATCACTCTGGACCGTGGAAACATGCTCCGTGAAAGATGGTCCTCAATGGTGTTTAGGAACCAAGTCATCCGAGGAAACAATGCAGGTAATTACTACCCCAGCAATCACGCTGCCTGACTGGAAGCTGGCAGCCCCAGCCCTGCTCTGGCTCCAGCTGTCTCCTGCCCTTGATTCTGGACCATCAGCCTGGAGCAGAGAGGAAAGGAATTTATCACCCTGATGGGATGGCTACTGCTTCTCCAAGGGAAATGATTGCTGGTGGGGAGGGGTGGGAGAATCTCCATCATGCCTCCCCTGGCCCTCTGCCCTGCACTGCTGTCCTTCTGCTAACTTCCACCAGCTGGCTCACTGCCCTCAGTAGGGTCCAGAATGGCAGGGAGGACTATGGCAAGAACACTGGCAGAAATCAGAGCCCAGGTCAAGCCATCTTCTCTGCCATGTATTAGCCTCCTGACTTTGAGACTGTAACTATTTACTCTGTTCTCAACTCCCCAACTATAAACAGTGAGATCAACAACATGTGCCCATCCCTTCAATCCACAGAGCACCACCAGACACAGAGGAGACAGTTCCTGCCCTGTCTTCCTTTCTTCAGAAGTAGGTGTCTCTGAGCTGATCCTTGGGATCTCCTGAGATGAATCTTGTTGACCATGACCTTGGGAGAGTCACATTCCATCACTGTACCTCCTGTTCTTGTTTGTGACACTTATGGAGACATCTGTGAAGATGACTCCACGTGTGCTTATGTCCTTGATAACAGAGGCTGTAAACCACATGTTTATGTGTGAGTGTATATGTGTGTGTGTTCACACTGAGAGGTATGCATGACTCCTCCTGGGCATTGCTGTTCTGGAATGGTCTGCTTGAATGACCCCATGTACCCCAGGGGTTCCTCTTTCCCACCTCCAGGCTCTAGTAGTCACTCTGCTGCTCAGAGACCCTCATCCCCAGGAGGCCACATGCAGACTCCACTGAGGAGCCACCAAGTCGCTCAGGGGCAGCACATGTGCTGACCTTCCTGAGCTGCACAGCTTTGACTGTGGAGCTGAAGCCCTCTTCCCTGGATATAACGCATATCAATGAACTAACCAAAACTATACATTGGGACCATTTGTAATAGTACCTTACAAGGGAGAGAGGGAAGGGAGCCAGTGATTGAGCACCTGCTGTGCCGCTAGATGCGTTTTAATGCACCATCTTATGCAGGCCTCACAGAAAGCCTGTGACACGGTGGTGGTCCTGCACTTCTCCCCACTCCCCTTCGGAGCTTCCCAGTTGCAACCCAAACCTTCTGAATGTATCGATTCATCTCTATCCTGACTTGCCTTTGCCCTTTCATGCATTTGAATCCAGCAGTTTTCACATTAGTTCTCTCTCTCTCTCTCTTTCTCTCTCTCTCTCTCTGGCTTTGGTGAGCATGCTTGAGTAAACTGCCATCTCTCTGCCTATTTTCCTGTCTCCAATGGTGGTTGACGCCATTTCAAGGCTTTGGTGGTTACCGCCTATACCTGAACTCATGTATACTACCTGGGGGCTCTGGAATTTCACTTGTTGTTATAAGCCCTCATCCTTACAGCTTAAGAAACATTTTCACCCAGCACAGACTATATACTTCCCCTCCTTATTTTTAAAAGGAGACTGAGACTTAGAAAATAAGAAAACTTGTATCACAACTAGTAACTTCAGGGATCGGGACCAGGCCTTAGGTCTCCAATCTAGAGTCCACAAACCCACAGGATCCTGTAAACTGGACATAGGCCCAGCTGGGAGTCCCAGAAGTGGAGCAGAGCTCTGCTAACAGCTCTTTCTCATGCAGGAGGACCTAAAGATGCTCATTACCCCTTCTCCGTGCACGAGCACACTGAAGGCACCAATGTTGTCGTGTCTTTCACGGTCCCTGGCATGCCACCAAGTGAGAAAGCAGAAGACGAGAAATTCCCACTGAACTTCCAGGTGTTCAAGGTAAGGCAGCCTGCTCAGGTCTCACCCTTTTGGCAGTTTGATTAAACCTTAGGCTGGGAGAGCAGCCAGGCTGGGAGGTTTGACTACACCATACTCTGGAGATAAAGCCCAAAGAGGCCATAGTGCACCTGTGCAAGCCCTAAATTTGCAGGAAAATCTGAAGCCAGGGAGAAGGGACTTGACCATGTGTCCAGTGGGATTCACCTGCCGGTGTCACCTGTCAGCCTTTCCTGGGGTGTTGCAGAATCTAGCACTTGCTACTGGAAAAATGGTCTGGGCCAACACCAGTCTTTGTAACAATGCAGATTCCTGGGCCCTCCCCAGAGCTTCTGAATTGGAATGTCTAAGGACAGAGTCTAAGAAAATATGCATTTTAACAAGCACCCCCCCCACCAGCGGGGGTGCTTATGCCCATTAAAGTTTGAGAATCATTGGCTGAACTTTAGGAGGAGTTTAAGAAAAAAAAAAAAAGCCTGGGTAAAATCTGGAAGGTACATTTTTCTCTTATGTTCAGACCAAAGTCCAGGCACGGCTTAGTGGCTATCCTACCAGCATCTGTGTGGCCACTCGCCCCAGGCCAGGTTTCCCCTCCACCTGGGTCTCTCCCGTCATGTGCCCCCATGAGGAGCTCCTCACCTCCCAGGGGCCATGCCCCCTCCACCATGCCATCCTACAAACAGCCATGAGGAGATAATCAGGGAATTCATTTTTTAAAATATCATTTAGAAGAAAATAGTTACCAAAAAAAAAAAAAAAAAAAAGATGGAACCTCTACTCTAGTGATTTTCAACCCATGTGCCACAACACATTGGTGTGGTATGAAAAGGTCTTGGGTGTGCTTTGAAAATGTTTAAAGACCATTAATTAAATTATTTGTGAAATAAGTTCAAACCACAGTAAGTATATTCTTTTGTACTTTTTTTCTTAATCAACATAATTTAAGTGTGCCGCAAAAGTTTAGCTATAGGTTCAAAAAAATAGCTATAGATAAAAAAGGTTAATAAACGCTACCCTACTCCCTCCCCTTCCCCCAAACAATTCAACACACCCCAAAGATAAAACGGATGGTTCTCAAATCACACATGCCATGGCTTCTCTGCCTTATGGTACTTAGAATCCAGCACCCATCACATGTGGGGACCCTCTCTCCTTATATTAGAGTTGAAGAAACTGAGGCCTGAGGAAGTGAAGTGACACTGTCAGAGTTAATGGCAGAACTGGGACTTGGTAACCCCGAAGTTGCCAGAGGCACCCCAAGACTTTAATCAAATTTGCAAATCATCTACGTAGGCACCCAGGATATCAGAGGTCCATTACCAAACTGGGCTGGAGCTTTGATTACAGTATTTCTAGGAATGATTTCAGTTTCTGATCACACAGATGAAGGCCAAATTGACAGCCTGGGGTCTTAGCCTGTTTATGAACAAGCGGGGCTCCTGGGCACTCCACTCACAGCTGAGCAGTGCTGCGCTCTGGCCGTGACTCACTCTAATAAGAGGCCCTCAAGGTGATACAGTACAAGTGCTGTGTGCCTTGTCTGAAATGCTTGGGATGGGAAATGTTTCAGATTTGGGACTTGTTCAGATTTTGGAATATTGCCATTTATATAAATGTCAGTTCAGCGTCCCCATCTGTAAATCTGAAATTCAAAATATTCCAAAATAAAAAAAACTTTTGAACACCAGTATGATGCAAAAAAAAAGAAAAAAGTGCTCATCAGAGCATTTGGGATTTTGTATTTTGGATTAGAGATGCCCAACCTGTACAGAATTACAAGCACATTCGCACTCATTGTCTCAAAACTCCAGTTATCCCCACTTTTACAGCTGCGGAAAGCAAAGCTCAGAGAGCGAAGGCGAAAACCAAGGTGCAGCTAGGAGGTGACAGGGGAGTGTTTGGTCTCAGGACTTGTGGTCCCAGGTCCAGGGCTCTAGGTAGGGCTTAGACACATGCCTTTCTGCCTTTTGTGTATGGCTCTAAGAAAAAACAAAAATTCTGGCTCTGGAAGAAGGAAAGCTTCGGGTTCCAGTCTCTCTGAGCGTATTTGCACTTCCCATTACGTGAATTCAATGGAAAGAAATTATTGCAGTTTAGCTCAACACTTTGAGGTGCCTCCACCCTGCCAAGGCTATCAGAGAACATTTCTTAAGGATGCAGTAGTCAACAGTTGTCATTTTCATCCCCACCTGGCACCAGAAGGTCCTTCCTGTGTTGGGGGAATCTTGGTGGGAGGCCAGGATGCAGCCTTCAACTGCGGCAGGTAGAGGCCAATATTCTCTCTCCCCGCTTTTGGATGAAAAAGGTGCAGACCCAGGTTTGTCTTATTAGATGCCTCATCTCCTGCCCCCTCACACATTCTCCCAGTCACTCAGAGCTTTGACTCTTGTGGAAATAACTTAACCAGGGAGGAAGAGCCAAGGACTATTGGCAGCAAATCTTTGAGCCCAGCAGCAGCAAAGCAGGGCAGTCCCTGAGCTGGTGTCTGGCGGTGTCGCCATCTCGTTTGGCTCCTGACCACCTTCCAAGCCGCATTTTCCAGACACCTCAGCATCTCAAGAGCTGTCCTTCCCAGAAGTGCCTTTCAGTCCACCCCAGCCGTTCCTTCCCTGGCATTTAGCCCAGAAGCCCTGCTGGTTCAAGTGCCTTCTAAAGGGACTGTCATCCTCAGAGACCCCCAACTCTGGCCTCTGTGAAAAACAAAAGGCTATAGACAAAGGGAAGGATTTGAAAAAGGCTGAGAAGGAACAGAGGCATGGAGTCTGTCCAGCCAGTAGCCAAAAGGTCAAGTGTCAAACAGGCCTCCCAAAATATCACAGCCAATTCTTCCCTTTCCTGATGTGCAGAAGAAGCACAGAGACTGTCAGAGCCCCCCTGCCACACACACACACACACACACACACACACACAGCCGGGGCTGCAGTTCACACTGCCATCCATGACCCTGGTGTCCAGAGTCGGGCAACGTAGCAGCCCTGCGTTGATATGCCGAGAGTCTTACAGTTCAGGAACCCTGTGAAGACTGTAACTGTTGTACCATTTTATTTTTTTAACTATAAATAATTTTTTTATTAAATCATAACTGTGAAAAAAACAAACAAACAAACAAAAAAAAATCATAACTGTGTACACTAATGTGCTGATTTTTTTTTCTTTCTTTCTTTTTTTTTTATTGAATGGTAACTATGTACATTAATGCACTTCTGGGGTACAGTGTGGGGTTTTCACATGCAATCTGAAATACTTCCATCAAACTGCTCAACACAGCCTTCATGTCATTTTCTCAGTTACTGCTTTAAAACATTCACATTCTACTCTTAGAAAGATTCACCTGTACCCCTATAAGATAAACCTCAGAAGTGATCCCTCCAAACTAATGTGCTGATTTTACATACAATTTGGAATGGTTACATCAAAGTGGTTAACATAGCCTTCACCTCACTTAATTGTTGTGTTAAGACATTTATACTCTACTCTTAATAGATCTGACATGTACCCTTGCAATATGCACCATAGGTGAGGTCCCACCCATTACCTTTCCTCCACCCAGCCTCCCCCCTCCCCTGCTCTGCCCTTCTTCATTCTGGGCTATAGTTGTGTTTTATCTTTCATATGAAAGTGTGGGTGATTATATATTGGTTTCATAATAATACTGTCGTACCATTTAAAAAGTGACCCCAAGCCCAGGTCTTTACTTTTTAGCCAGAGATGTATGATTCTCACCACTTGCCACTTTGCTGAAGGAACACTCAGACCCAAGATCTCCTTAGGCTCCCTGAAGATCCCAGGGGACCCTGCAGGATCTTAATTCAGTTAAACACCAAAGAATACTCCAGACACTGACATTTCAAAAGATGTGTGGGTTCTCAGCCAGCAGAGGAACAGGCTACGTACATGCCAGTGGCCAGGCTTTCAGAGGTCTCCAGAGCTCTGGCAGTGCCTGTGGCTGTGATGCTGACAGGTCCCACCTTGGCATGGGCCTGTGACTCCCCAATTGCTATGAGAGCTTGATTCTGCCTTACGTCACTCCAAACCCTGGTGGTGTGTGAACAGGTGGGAGAAGACAGGACAGTGGAAAGCACAAAGTGGACACCCCATATCGTCCTCACCCCCAAAGCTCCTCCCCCAAGGCCAAGACTTTCCACCTCCCTCCCAGCTCACCCTTGGCCTCCAGAGAAGGCTGCCTGGGCAAATCAAGAATCTGTACACATGGGTGGGGCCCAGCTCAACAACAGGAAGGAATCAAAACCCGCACCACTGGGGGAGACTTTGCCTGGTGGTGGTGGGCTTGATTACAAAGGAGGTGACACAGCTTGCTCAGCTCTCAACTCTGCTGCTTAAACCACTGAGCCTCAGTTTCCACCTCCATACAATAGGGAGCCTAGTGTCACTTATGGGATCCTTGTGAGTGTCGGCACATTGCATAGAAGTGCCTTCCGTATTGCAGAGAGGGTCAGAGTGGAGCTTCCTGCCACTGCAGGGAAAGACTGCAGCCTGGGTAGCTCCCCACCACGCACATACATGATTCCTGCAAGTACCAGGGGTGGGGAGTCTAGAACAAATTCCATTTGTATTTTCTTCCTTCTAATGGAATAGAAGAGCCTGACTGCTCATGGACACCCCGATGTTAGGGAATGTACAGATTCTCTTACTGCTCTCTACAACTCAGTGGCTTTCCTTTTTTACAGCCCCACACAAGGAATGAGTAATCGTCCTGATTCACACCCAGGTGTGTGAGAAAACAGGCTGGGCACTCAAAAAGAAGGGACATGGGGCTAAGCCAGGCTACTCAGATCTACTTGCATTTTTATTTGGATTCTGGTCCCTGAATCTGCCTTTCCTCTTCCCTGCAGGTTGACTCCCAGGTATGGCTCCCCGTCGCCCTCACTGGGCTTCCCGCACCTTTACTGCTCTCCACAGCGGAAGTGCTACCCCTCCTCCAATGCCGGTGGCCTTCACATGTTCTGTCTGGCTATGTCTTATATCAGACATAAGCTTAGAATCTCCAAAGAAGTCAACCAAGCAGGAAAGTGTTTAGCTGTCCTGGTCTAAGGAAAGTTGAAGGCTGTTCTTTTGTTCAACATTCAAGTGAAACCATCTTCAACCATGTGGCCCTTGACAGATAAAATTGATGCCACCAGTTCCCTGCTATTTAAGATGAAAGCAGATTTAAGGGGTACCTTGGAAGGATCTTTAGCCTCCTGATTAGCACCCGAATCCACCACAAATAGGATGTGTGCTCTCCAAATGCAGCTTGGAGATCCTTTTATAAGAATATGGCTACCCCCTAAATAGAAGCTGGCTTAATATTAGTCAAAAGTGACTTATGACTATGAGGAAGGATGAAAAGGACAGATGGAGTTTGGGACAGTTATCCCTCCCATGAATGGGAGCTCTGAGCTGCCAAGAGGGAGATGCCACTTCGAGATGTGGCTGCAGCCAGCAGGTAGTGACCTGCAGCCAGCATGTCCAGGCCTTTCAGGGAGGCCCCAACAGGTTGACAGATGCCAGGGCAAGGGAGTCTCAGGACAAGGGATACTCAGAAGTCTAGGTAGAAATCTAATGGCATGTCTGTGACAGCTGTGGCCCAGCATCAAAGCTGGGGGCTAGGATCTGACTCTGGCCCCAGCACCCCAGCCATGGAAATGGAATGTTTGGAAGGGCTCATAGGGAAGCATTCAGGTTCAAGAAACCATTCAGCCCTCCCATTCCCAGAGCTGGAGAGCAGGGTGGGACTGAATCTAGGAAAAGGCAAATGCCCCATCTCAAGAACTACAGAGTCAGGCCAGCTCACAACTATCTGCATGTTAATTTTATGCTGAGTCCCCTGAGTGTTGGGCCAAGACCTCCCCTCATATCCCTACACGCTTCTCACAGCCCCCAAGCAGGTCTGCTCTGCAGGATCAGTAGCCTGGTCAGGGGGTAAGGGGTCAGCAAAGGGAGGAGGGCAGGAGAGTGGGTAAGCAGGATTGTCGGAGGCTCGACACCCTCACTCTGCATGCATACTGCCTCCCACGTGCACACCCAGAGCCACGGGGCCTTACTGACCCTCCAGAGAAGAACTGATTCCAGCACTGATTTTTCCAAAAGGGCCCAAGCAAGTCTGGCTCGCAAACCCACCAGGGCTGCTGTTAACATCAGCAGAATCACTTTGGAGGCTGTATGGCTGGGACAGTGTCTTATCTCCTGTCTCACCCTGGAGACAAACCCTATCCCTACACCCTGAAAAGAAACTGTCCCCTTTCACCTGCTTTTTCCGTGGGCAGAGCTCATAAATAACCATTTCCTGGTCCATAACCACTCTAAACGGGATCCCCTTGCTTGACTATAGTGGGGAAAATTTGTTTAGCAAGAGGTTTCTGTTATGTAATGTGTATGTAACATCTGGTAATAGGAACTGCATTATATTTATTGTTTTATCTGTAAGAAAAGATTGGAATAAAAAGAAAATGATCAGGGCCTATTATTCCTCCCATAAGAAGAAATCTCGGGGCACCACTGGCGAGATGAAACAGAAGTAGAAAGAATTCAACTCTGTAATACCATAGCCATCTAGGGTATTTCACTAAAGGTTTAGGAGAGAAGGGGCTTTAGGAGCCGCAGAAGAAAAATAGTGTTGAAACAATGTCACTAGTTTCCACAGAAGACTTCTCTATATAAACATATCTAGGCAGAGAGAGAAAACCCAGAACCGCAGGATGCAGCTCGGCTTACTGAGATAAAACTGTGCGTTATACTCCCTCGCATTCACTGTAGCATGCAGGGGTCTGGACGATACAGCTGTCTAAACGCGACTGTGCCTTGTGAGGGTTTAGGGACATACCATGTCCCTTTGCAGGGGGCCTGTCACGCAGATGTGGTGGACAGAGAGGGTCTAGAGGTGGTGGGTCTCGCCCAGTGACGCATGACCAGGCATGGAGGGGGCTCCTGACAATCGTGCTTCTTCCAGTTCCAGCGATTCGGAGAGAGACTGCCGTCCACGTTCTTTTCCCAATTCAGAAATGCCGCCCAGGGCATAAATTACAAAACCAAGTGCAACTTCACAAAATCCTTCCACCTGAGCCCTGGGAACTATGTTGTGGTCCCCTCGGCACGGAGAGGTGCAGCTGAGTTCTTGCTCCGAATCTTCCTGAAAATGCCCGATGGTGACAGGTACAGAATTCTGGAGTCCTAAAGGTTTCACTCTGCTTAATTTTGTAAAAATGCACGGTGACCTTGCATGCAGAGGTCTGCTCAGTGTCCGCAGCACGTGCCGTGTGAATGGGGGACACGACCCAGGGCCCGCTGTCAAGCAGCTCACTGTACAGGGGAGTGAGGAAGTCTGTGAACCGAGAAGCAGACCACACCCAGGCCAAGGCCCTTGTGGGTGGAAACGTGAAGTGCCACGGGAGGGCTGAGTGGGGAGGACTGAGGAGGGCCCTCCGAGGAGCAGCACTGGAGCTGGTCCTTTGATGGTTTAAAGGGAAAGCTGTGAGGTGGGAGGAAAAAGCACGAACACAGCAGGGAAGTGAGTGAGCACAGAGCTGGTTGGATGGTGGCTGGTGTCAGCATCTCTACAGGAAGGTGGCCTCTGGCAAGCCTGTCATATGGTCAGAAATGTGGCCTGAAAATGGGGTATATACACAGCCAAAAGTGGGCCTGAATGATAAGGTCCAATCATGGAGGGTCTTGTATCTAAGTCAGTGGGTCAAGACTGGGATCAACAGGTACCTCATCCCCTCTTGGGCCTGAGGCAGACATCACTGTCACCAGGACAGTCTGCAGTGGGGGAGGCCTCCTCAGTCTGGCATGCCAGCAGCCATCGTACTACCAATTAGAGGTGGAACATAGGACACAGCTTATCCACCATCCTGGCAGTGGGGGCCGCAGTACGGGTGTATCTGGTTGCAAGAGGAATTATTTTCTAGAAGACAGAAGACCAGACCATGCCCACCCAGAAGGCTGGGCATGTGGCCGTGGTGCTCATCCGTGTTCTTAGTGCCTGGCTGCCCATTTCATGTCCTGCAGGGCTGAGGGCTCCCTGCTTAGCCCTTAGCAGTATCCAATATCACCGTAGTGTCTCCCACATACAGGCCCCTTTGAGAGGTGCACGGGTTGTCCTTGTCATATTGTTCCCTATTTTCCAGGAGCCTGAGCAGCAATTTCAGCCTGAGAACACTAAAGGTAGGCACCTCCCAGCCCCATGAGCTCTGTCCCCTTCTTACCTGTCCTCTGACTAATGAAGATGGAGACACCATGAGGGGCCATCGATGGCTCAAAGGGGAGGTGAGATTGGGGGATGATAGCAGCCTTCAAGGCCAGGCTCAACCTAGCCGTCTTCCCTCCACAAACTTTAGTTTTTTTTATTTCCATAAAGATTTTTTCCACCTTCTAGATAAAACCTCTTCTCAGATCTAGGTGGGGGTTGTGTCCTCACTGTGCCAGGCAGGTGGCTCTTTCCCCAGTTTAATAATCTTGCTTATTTTCTCTTTGATCCAGGAAAGCCTTGCAGAACCTGGCTCCCAGGAAAGCATTTTCTACAGATATGCTCAGCAGGTACTGTGCCTGCCCCCAGGGGCCTTACCTAGGACAGGGGATGGAGGGCCTCTCCCCAGCCCTTATCAGGATGTGGATGAATTATTCTATCAGCATCTCTCCCCAGAATGGCTCCAGAACTCCGGCTGCCAAACTATGTAGGGAAGCAGCATCACACCCAGTGTCATGTGGGTGACATCCAGATGGAATGTTGAGCTTAGAAACGGAGGGGATAATTATGGGTGGGGGGCCTGGGGTGTGCTGCCTTCTAAATGTTAAAACAAGCAATTGGCAGTGCCCCTTGAAATCTTTCCTTCTCCCACTCAGCCGCCTCCACCAGCCTGGCATCACTCCTCTGGGAGCTGGCCAGCTTCAGAGAGCCACAGCAGTGTCCTTCCTGCCAAGCCACCTATGTGCACATGGGGTTTTCTTAATAGTTTAATAAACTGTTATAAAGAACTCCTTGACTTGTCAGGATAAAACGGCTGCCAAGGGCTGGACCTCTGGCTATTAATAATCATGTTGGTGTGAGAAGCAGGGAGTAATTCAAGTGACCGTGGGTCCCATCCTGGCTGGAGCCAGGCAGAAGCCAAGGACAGGAAGGATGCCAGGCCCTGCTCTGTGTTCAGAGGGTAAAAAATGGTTCTTGGTAGCCCAGAGGCAGCCTGGGCCCAAAAGGAGACCTGAAAGGAAAAATGAAGGACATAGCTGGAATGAGGGGCACGTATTGCAAAGAGCAGCTGAATGTGGACCTCCACGAAATCAGTGTCAGCCCAGGATTCAGGCCACCATCTGGGCTGATCCAGAAGGCACTTCACTTGATGCATGACAAGGCTGGCCAGTGAGCTCCCCAAAGCAGGGAGGATATCATATGCGCTCCTTGTCCCCAACACTCATCACTGTCCTTGGCGCAGAGGGGGTGCTCAATCATTTCTGTTGAACTGAATTGAGACAGATTAGCTCCCCCAGAGCAGATGCCCAAGCTAAGGTTAGCTGCCCCCAGGTGGTTAGCAGGGACTGACTGGGACCCAGCTTCCTTCAGGGGCAGGTGGCAAATTCTCACACATGGTCCCCGCACCTGCACCCTTAAATTAAAAATATAATTTGTCATATGAGAAGATGGGACAGATTCCCTAATCAAGACTTTCCCAGACAATAGCCAAATGCCCCCTCATAGTGGGTGACTGGCAGTCCCTATGTGGCATCGTGCCAGGGTGCCCGGCCGGGAGGTGGAGCAGAGGCTGGATTCCAGCCCATCTCACCGCTTGGCCAGGCACCCTGAGCAGGGACCACCTTGCTTTAGTCTGTATGACCTGCAGTTTATCCTCAGAGACTATCCCCACCAAAGAACGTTTAAAGCAAAATAGGAACCCACACACTCACTGTGTCCCATCTCCTGATCTCTTATGTTGCTTTAACTAACTTTAATACAACTTACTACTGCATGTACTGCTACTGGTAGTTCCCTTACTAGCCACAGTACAGGCCATGGTACTTGAGGGTCTGCCCATGAAGAAAGGATACACTTGGACTCTGGGCTGGGCCAGGTCCACCCAGCCATCCTTGTTTGTTCAGTGGGCAGGCATTTACCAAGCACCCAGGACATCCCCAGTGCTACCCTAAGCTTTGGGCATACCGAAGCATAGCCTTGGGTATCTCACCTTGTGGTGGGACAGGCAAATGTGCAAATCTGTGGGACTTAGTTTAAGAAACCCTCATCTTCGTTCCTACCCTCACTCCTTGAACACTTTTGGTCGGTTACTGAGTATAGGGTCCAAGTCAGGGTCTGTCCAAGCACAGGGATGTGAAGGAGGCGGTGACGTGGTCCACACCCCAAAGCTGCTTGTAGTCTAGGGGAGCATTCCCTGTGAGAGGGAGTTCCTCATTATCATGTCCACTGCTGTCCAGATCAAGGGGACACGATTCCTCTGAAGAGAAACTCAGTTGAGGGTGGGCACACAACACCAGCTTCCCTGACATTACCAAAGGTGAGATGTTGGAGGGATGACCTGAGGACCAATGTCAGACAGTGGCAGGATGTTTTCTTCAGGGAGCGCCCTAAGGGCTCGTCCTCCCAAGTGAAGAACCTGCAGGCCTGTGCGACTGCACCTGCCCTCACGGCTGGGCAAGCCCACCCTGGGAGGTGGGAGGTGCTGGTTCTCAGGAGACCCCAGGGAGGCGCCTTCTTCCACCTGCCCAGTGCCACCTGCAGAACCCTGCTGAGAAACCTCACTCAAGCACCAGCTCCCAGGGTGACAGAGACACATCGTCTCCTCAGCCCTTCCTAGGCTGGACATATGCTGGCCATGCAGAGAACACCCTGCTTCTCTGACGCTGCCTGCCTCGCCGTTCAGTGTCCTCCTCCAGAAGCTGAGGCCAGGAAAAGTTTCTCCCTCCCCTCAATTGATTTCAGCTTCTAGTGGAAGGAAAGCCATGACGTCTCCGGTTTTCACTTCAGTGGCTGGGAAGACTCATGCTAAGTAATGTGTTCAGTTATAGCAGCTCCTCTTAGCCTACATTTCTGGTATTTTTAACTCCTATTATCACACACGTGCGCGCACACAGACAGAGTGCATATTCTCCCTCAATCTCTTTCTGGAAGCAGATGGGGAAAATACCCACCAGGCCGGATTGAGCATTCAACGTTACCTTTCCAGAAGGCTCCCACGTGCGGGGGATGGCGGGAGGAGGCAAGCCCAGCTTTCTGTCCAGTAATGAATGGAGAGGGAAGTGCAGGGCAGCCCAACCCGGGGCCAGCTGCCATGACTAGCCCTGCAGATGTTCAGAGGAGGGAGTGACCACCACTGCCTGGAGCTCAGGGGAGGCTTCGTGACAGAGGCCAAATGGGCATATCCTGCGAACCAATGGGCTCAGACAGAGCCACGTGGATGTGTCTCTCGGGCCCAGCACTGTACAAATGCTTCCTCCCTTGTCTGGATCAGGGGACGGACATTGATGCCACCCAGCTTCAGAACCTTCTCAACCAGGAACTCCTAACAGGTAGGATCAGCCCATGGGACTGCTGGCCCCATCCTTGTCCCCTCTGGCACCCAGCCCCCAACACGTCAGCCCCCTGGCCTTCCCTCCTCAGGACCCCCTGGGGACACATTCTCCTTGGATGAGTGCCGCAGCATCGTGGCTCTGATGGACGTATCCTTTGCAGCCATCCCTCCCTGGCTCTGAGAGGTCTCAGCAGGGGTCCGCTCACTCTCTTCTTCTTGGCCTTGAGTTTCCATGGATTCACTACCAACTCACTGACTCTCCGGGACAACCATAGCAACATGACAGTGGTCACCATCTACTGAGTAACTGCTGTGCACTGAGAACTGCACTGGCTAATATATATATTTTTTCTTATAATTTTTGCAGCAACTCTGTGACCTTAGCACACTATGAAAGAAACAGGGGTACAAAGATGTTCATTTGCCTAGGTCATGCAGCTAGCCAGGACTTGTGCCCAGATGTTAGTTGGAATTTTCAATCCCCAAAGACCCTATGCCACCTCCTTAGAGCAGGAGGATTATTCTCCCTCCCCCCATTCCTCCCCTTACCACTGGAGGAGTCCCCACAATTTAGATTTTTACTCAGTAAGGCCCTAGTTCAATAAAGCTAGGAACCACCAACACATATAGAAAACTCCTCAGTCTGTGCAGCAGTTGTGACCCATGACTGCAAATTTGCCAAGGAGGTGGCTGGGTGGTCATTCAGTGACTTGCCCCAGCTCAATGACCTCAGGTGGCCAGGACCAAGAACTTGACTCGGGCCCCTGACTCTGCTGGTTTCACCCCCAGTGGGCCATTCTGCCCTTCACACCCCTTGTCCCAGCAGGCAGGGGAGGCTGACCCCACGTGTGCACACCCTGCTGCTGCCTGGCCAGCCCCTCACTGGGCCGTGTGCTTCTCCTGAGAGGGATGGAGCAGCCTGCTTTCATGCAGCTAAGGAGGCTTGGTCAGGATCGCCAAGCTGGTCACAGTAGACCACGAGGGCTTTGAGATGGAGTCAGCTTCTGTCTCTGCTGGTCGTGGTATAGAATCACTCAGAGATACTGCCATCTCCCACAGAGGAGCCCACATGGTCTCTGTAGCCCCATGGCCTGAGGTGGGTAACCCCAGAGGAGGTCACCTTTGCTGGACTCCTGCAAAGCAGACAGGCCTTCCTCCTACCCACCCCTGGCTCCCCTTCCAGTTCTCAGAGGTTACTCCTCTTCACCTCCTCAGTCATCACTGAACCCCTCTGAGGGAGTGGCCACGTCTGGTTTTAACATGGACGTGGAAAGCGTTCCCTCCCAGGGAACCCGCTGACCGGTGCGGCTCTGCCCTGAGCTCCCTCTCTTCCCCTGGATGCGAGTGACATTGGCCTCTTTTTCTCAGGGCTTTCTTCTTCCAATTGTCCATTTTTCTTTGTAAAACAAATCTGCTGCTGTGGGAGCCAGCTGGCGAGGGGTCACATTTAGGTGGTGCTGGGCCAACAACAGTGTAACTAGTGATGGATGGAGGCTTCGCAGGCAGGACCAGAGGCCCCTCCAGCTCACTGCATCCTGGGCTGGTTAACTCTTAACTCTCCATCCAGCTGCAAGTGAATGGGCGGCTGAACCAGGAGGAGTTCACACGACTGTGGAGGCGCCTCGTCCGGTGCCAGGTATGCGTGTGTTCTCTGTGATTTATGCTCTGATTCCATCCAGTGTAGCAAATATTTACCAGGTGTCCAAGCCTGCACCAGGGCTGAGGGGTATGAAAAAAGAGGAAACCTCACCGCTGCCCTCCAGGCATGCTCTCACTCTGTCTGGGGAGACATTCGTGTCTAGACATACCTCTAGAGCACTAGAGGTCACGGGCTGCTCCCAGTCAGGTGCAGGGTGACGGATGCTGGGAGGCTGGGGGAGAGAGAGGTCCCTGTGAACTGTAGCTGAAACTGCCCACTAGCATTTTCCTCCATGTGCCCCCCTCCTCTGCACAGCCCTGACCTACCTGCCCCCTCAGGTCCTTCCAACTCATTTGCCAGGGGATCTGTCAAAACGCAGACATGTTCAGGGGACCTGTGTGGCCCTCCCCATTGTTCTTAGGACAAATTCTAATCACACACAAGACCCTCCAAGTTGGGTGCCTATTTGGGGTGCCGGAGAAACCCCCTTCACCTGTCCCATTCTCTGCTTCAGGTCCCAGCTGAGATTCCTCATTACTCCCTATAAACTCATGCCCTTACCCCTTTGGCCTGCTGTTCCCTCCCCTCCCTACACCCCATGCCTGGCCAGCGCCCTCCCACCCTGAGCATCCAGCCCCAAACACACCTTCCCTACAGAACCTTCCTCGGGTTCTCTGACATGGTGTCACCCCACCCCCCTTGGCTCCTAACTTTTGAACCCACATCTGTCAGGATAAGTCAGATTGTGTTGTCTTACTATTTTATACTTATAAATAACCTATTATTTTTATTACGACAGGTATACCTGTCGTAACTAAAAAAGAAAAAAAAAACAGAATCATAGATGGGCAAAGCTAAATTTAAAAAAGAAAACATGAGCTTACGAACCAAAGAGGAAGTATTAACACCCAGTGAATATGCTTTGGAATTATTCCTCTAATATATTTACCCACATCTGCTAAATAAAAGTATAATCTGTTTTTTAAAAAGAGAAAGCCAATATATCAAATGTCTAGCCACGTTGCTAGATATTTCCACAACCTGTTTAAAGGCTGAATAAAGTGCTCCTCTGTGACTATACGGGATGTGTTTCCTAATCCCTGGCCAAGGTCATTGGCTTCTCATTTCATTTCCAGCCACTATGATGCTGGCGTGTCCTCTGCCCCATTAGATTGGGGGGGTCCTCACTCTTATCAATCTTGCCTCAGTGACTCCCATAGTGTGTACAACATAGACAGGGATCAAAAATGCTAAATAAATGGTCAGACTGATAAATTGTGAGTGAACGTGTGAATACCTAGTTGAGAACACTCTAGGCCTGACTTTGTACTCACCAAAAGCCAAAGAAGGCCAAGGAGAAGTCCTCGAGCTGCTCCTTCACAATAGTTGTCCCCACAGGGGCCTCAGTCACACAGCTGTGTGTGGGATATTGTGTCTGGGAACAGCTCCTGATTTGCATGGGCCCAAATCAGGAGTCCTCAGCTCAGTCCTGTGGCACCTGCGCACTTAATCCAAGGCAAGGGACTGCCCTGCCCTGTGAAGTATGACACTGATCAGTGTCAGACAGAAGTAGAGGCAGACAGGTACTGGGTAAATGTGAGAGCCACCGTCTACAGAATCGAGCTGTTACAGTTACTACCTTCTGTGACTGCACTGGGACCCAGGCTGCAGTTCCTACCTGCTGCCAATATTTCCTGTATACACTTTCTAATGTGCAAAGCGCTCTCCTGACCACTTTATAAATACGGCAGAACCTCTGTAAGTTGAGCACCCAAGGGAATGTAGGAAACTGGTCACCATATGGAGGTGGTCAACATAAGGAATGAGGCCCAGCGTACTGGTGAGTACGTGTGGTGCATGTCCAGTCTATGAACGTTAGGTCAACTTAAGGAGGTGGTCAATGTACAGATGTGGTCCATGATAGAGGTTCTGCTGTATTTGCTCATTTACTGCTGGCAACAAACCTACGGGGTAGGTACTGTAATTAAGCCCATGCTGCAGGCGAGGAAACTGAGGCCTAGAAAGATTAAGTCACTGCCCAGGTTGCACAGCTGCTAAGTATGTGAGGCAGGATTTAAACCCTGGTAGTTTGGTTGTGAAGCCTGTGCTCCTAACCACTGCCCTGTGGAGACTTTTTAGGGAAAGCAGCAAACTGCCCTATGTGACCAGTGCCAGTCTGGGTGTAGGGGAGAGGAAAGGAGAACAGGTGGGAGAGGGGAACCCACAGCCCCTCAGCAGGCAGCCAGGAGGGTTGACGGCCCCAGGTCTGGCCACTCCCACCTGCCAGGCCTCAGCCATGCTGTGGCGCCTACCTCTGAGTTGACTCCACCTGAGTTTTGGAGAAATAAGCTTCAGGGATGCAAAAAGAGATTTCCCGGACCTCCTCCTGTCTAGGACATGCTCTGGGTCCTCACGGAGGCTTCTTGCTTCTCTTCCCATATCAGCAAGTTTTCCAGAATGTCCAGAAAAGCCCCGGAGTCCTCCTGAGCTCGGACCTGTGGAAGGCTGTAGAGAACACAGGTAGAGTGGGAACCCTGTGCTCTGAGATGCCGGGGGGCCGCAGGGTGGGTGGGCAACTCAGAAGAGGGGGGCATGCAGCTCCTGCGTCCTCCCCCAGTTCTCACTCACACTGCCTTTGGGGCCTCGAGGGCTCTGGCCTCGGACATCATTTCCCAGCCTGACTTCACATGTACAGTCAATTATCCCAGCTGCCTCTTCTCCCAGCATGGCTCTGAGTGTGAGAAAATAGCCCCGCAGGACTGCTGCCCTTCCAGGGATTGAGCTGGCCTCAGAGATGCTCCCAGCTCCATGTCTGGGCCGTCGGGGTTAAATGCCCACCGGCAGGCTGCTGATCTTTCTTCTCTTCACAGAGGGTTTGGGCTAAATTCAATCAAATGGCGTCTGTCTGCTTGAAGTAGGCAAAAGCTTTCAGTCTGAGATAAGGATAATAATACCTTAGGGGGCGTAAGTGCTTCATGGTTCACCAGGTGCTTCTATTGATGTCCTCTCATTCCACGTCTCCACCACCTTGAGAACTGGGCAGGGCAGGAATCATTATTGCCACGTGGCTGATGGAGAGAATGGATCACAAAAGGCTATGCAAGGAATTGACAACCGACCTTAATGAAATGTGAAACCATGTCCCCCAGATTGACGCTAGAAGGAAAGCCTCTACAATTCTACCTCCATGGCTCCCGGTCTGCAGCTGGGGGAGCCCAGACTACTGCACCTCTCCTCTGCTGTAACAAAGACCTTCCTCTATAATTCTTCCTAATGTAGAGCCAGGGTTCACAGGCCTGAGTGTGCACCAGACCCCCTGCAGGGTGTGTTGAAACACAGATGGCTGAGCCTCCCCTCAGCATTCCTGATTCAGAAGGTCTGGGTGGGGGCTGAAGAATTTGCATTTCTAGCAAACTCCTGGGTTCTGTGCTTGCCCCTGGTCTTTGAGAACCACTAAAAGGCCAGTTAAAGAAGAAGTCTTTAAAGGAGACCTCCCTCATGACTCCAGAATAATAAAGAGGGAAAAATAGAGACTAGTTCAAGTTGAAAGCCTTCCAAAGGCAGGACAGTGACTTAGAAGAGCAATGCTGCTAATTGTAAGGAAGGGGGGTGGGGTTGAAAACGTGGCAAGCTAGAGTATGTGTGTCCCTCTACAGGCCTTTAAATTCACACTTTCTTAACCTGTGTGTGTCTCTGACTGTCACTGGGCTGGTCTATTGAGGGATGGTTTGGCTTACAAGGTTCTGCCTGCTACCCGGGCTTTCAGGCCTGCCTATGCTGGTCTGCACTTGACCCCTGTGTGGCTGGAGCTTATGACTAGACCTATCTCCTTCCCACTGAGTTCGTGTCTCCACTTGAGGACCAACCTTTTCCCCGGATGGCTGACTTAGCAGTGCCCCTCTTCCAGGGACCACACTCAGCCACACTGGCAGCAGCCACAAGTAAGACCCACACGCTATCATGGCTGAGGGAGGATGGTTCACCAGATCACCAGCAAACCCCAGGTGTCCCAGTGGTTCCCATACTACACAGGAATTAACAGAGGATTGTGAAGGCTGATGTGTCCCCAAGGCACACATTGCCTTTTGAGTATGAGTTGGCCTCTGGCCAAACTCCAGAACTGTGTCACTGGGGCCCAGCAGCCAACAAAAAAGAGAAGACACTGAAGTGAGGGGCCCCCACTCCAAGCCAGGCTGAGTAGGAGTGGGTGGAAGGCTTTGGGCCCTCTGAACTCATCTCTCAGACCTGGCGGGGCAGAGACCAGCCGGACCCACGGCCTCTTCCCCACTCACATACTCACCCTGCCACCCAGACTTCCTTGCAGGGATCTCCATCAGTACTGAGCTGCTGGACCTCGTGACCCTCCGGTACAGCAACAGCGCTGGCAGGGTCAGCTTCCCCAGCCTGGTGTGCTTCCTGATGCGGCTGGAAGCCATGGCAAGTAAGTGTTGCTGGGGAGAGCACCCGGGAGACCTCTGCAGTGGTCAGAGAGCACAGGAGAGGACCAGGAGCCCAGTCCTGCCGGAGGCCCGGCCAAGACCCCTACAGAAGGGTGGGCTGGTGTCCTACATGAGATGCCCTTGTCCTAAGAGGACATAGCCAGCTGAGGCCACCAATAATGTAGGCAGCTCCCTCTGTGCTTCCCCCAGCACACTCCCCTGCCTAGCTCTCCCCCTGCCCAGCTCCTATCTCAGAAGCATGGGTAATCTAAATTACTCTGTCCCCTCTCTGGGTTGTGTTTATAATTGGAACCTGCTCTTTGGTCCTGCCATGGAGAACCTGGATCTCTGCTGCAGGAATTCCACACACAAGTGAATAAGGGTGGACAGGAGGCCCCTCCCCAGGCTGCAGAAATCCACTATGCAGGCCAGAGGTTTTCACACTTTTTTAGCAGCCTAACCCTTTGTTTTAAGTGAAATAATGTCTGAAGGCCAGGCCGTAACAGAGCTCAATAGGAGCCACATGGTTGGGGTGGAACAGAGGGCCAGCCTCCCCGGACCCCTCCTCCCATCATCCTCACACCTGCTTTGAGGTTCCTCTGCACACCCCACTCAGCTCTGAGAGCTGAGAAGACTAGAGCCCTGTGAGGGTATAAGAAAATCTGAGGCACAAACCTTACCCCTCCAAAGAGTCTTCAGGCCTCCAAATTGTGCCTATGAAAAAAGACAAGCCCACACG